GGACGATGAAAAGTGCAAGCAGGAAACAACAGCCACGGAAGACACTTTAGCAGAGGAGAGGAGCAGGATAGAGAGAGTCCTGAGAGAGGAGCTACGGAAGGAGATGGAGGAGTTGACCCAGAAACACACAGAGGAGATGGAAAGGCAGAGACGGGAGGTGAAGCTGAGGTCTGAGGAGGAGTACAGAGACAGAGCAGAGACACTGAGGCTTCAGCACCAGCAGGAGAGCAGCAGGAGAGAGAGAGAACTGAGGGAGCAATACGAAGAGAGAGAGCTGAGAGAAGAGCAGAGGAGAGGGGCAGAGAGACACCAGGAGGAGCAGGCTCAGAGAGAGAGGGAGATTAAAGAGGGATTTCTGAAAGAGATGGAGGAATGGAGGCAGAAGTGCGAAGACCTGCAGAGGGAAATGGAGGAGATGAAAAAGAGATCTACAGAGGAACAGCGCAGAATGCAAGAAGAGCGGAGAGTCCACTATGAAGAGTTCAGCAGGAGAGAGACAGAGCTGAGAGAGCAATATGAAGAGAGAGAGAAGAGGAGAGACACAGAGCTGAAGACAAAACTGGAAGAAGTAGAGAGGGAAAGAGAAGCAATCAGGGCCAGGTGTGACGAGGAACTGCATGAGAAAGACAGAGAGCTCAGGGAAGAACTGAAGGAATTAAAGCAGAAATACAAGGAGCTGCAGCGGGCTTCCCAGCACAGTGAGAATGAGGACAGAGGAGATGTTGAAGAGCGTATTCCAAACGAAAGCTCACTGACATTGGAGGAGCTCACCAACATTGAAAACGTGTGTGTAGCTCTTCAACGGGACTGCGAGCGTCAGACTATGGCACTGGCTGATAAGGAAAACTGTCTGCTCTTCTTACAAAGCAAATTCTTAAACTTACGGCAGCAGCAGCAAGCGGAAATGGAGAACGCTAAAGAGAAATATGACAGCAAATGTCGAGGGAAAGTAGCGGAGCTCAGAAAGAGGTTCGAGGAGGACCCCACAAAGAGGAAAGCCATGCATCATGATGAAGAGGAGAACGAGGAACGAGAAAAGCTTGAGAGGCTTTGCAGAGACATTAAGAGGTCGTACGAGGAGAAGCTGAAGAGAGAAGTGAAGGAGCTGGAGGAGAGGTACAAGGAGGAAGAGAGCAAGGTCATGCAGGAAATGGAGACGCTCAAAGAGGAAATCGCCTCTGAACGCCGGAAAAAACTAATCATCCAGGAGAAGTATGAAGCGAAGTGCCAGGAACTCAAGAAGGCCAAAATGGACTATGATGCAAATTACAGAAAAGTCGTTGGCAGAGCAGACGACATCACGAAGAACTGGGAAGAAAAACTAGCAGTGGTGGAGGAGGAGCTTCGCCAACGTACTGAGCAGTTAAAGGATCTGAAGGGCGAGGTGAAGT